CCCTACAGACCTCTTAGGAAAGGGGTGAGGTCAATAGTAGACAGTCTAAGGTTAAAGTTTTGGGGTTTGGGGGAAGAAACCACAGAGTCAGGTAGAGTATTCCAGACATTGACCACTCTGTTGCTGAAGTCATATTTTCTGCAATCAAGTTTGGTGCGGTTAACCTTGAGTTTGTATCTATTGTTCGCTCTTGTATTGTTATGGTTGAAGCTGAAGTATTCCTTGACAGGTAGAACATTGCAATGTATGATTTTATATACTATACTTAGATCGGACCAAAGGCGGTGTAGTTCTAGTTTTCTAGGTCTAGAATTTCAAGTTGGTGGCATAAGGTATTCTGCAACGAGTAGAGGAGTAGAGAACTCTTCTTGTGAAACATTTCTGGACTTTCTCAACTGTGTTAATATCAAATACGTAATGTGGGTTCCAGACTGATGAGCTGTATTCAAGTATTCGAGTCTAGCAAATGTTTTGTATGCTCTAGTTAGTAGTGTAATATTACCAGAGAAAAAGCTACGTAGGATTAGGCTAACAACTCTTAATGCCTTTTTGGCTATGTAGTTACAGTGGGCTCTAGCACTTAGATCATTAGAGATGAGTATTCCAAGGTCCTTTACAGAGCTTGGATCATCAACAAGGTCTTGACTATTCAGCTTGTATTTTATTTTCTGATTTTTTTTTGCCAATATTTTTTTTGCCATTTATTTGTTGAGATTTGAAGTTGCCATTTGTTTGACCATTCTGATACATAGTTGAGATCTTTTTGAAGGGTAGCAGTATTGTCTTGAACAGCTTTACATCATCAGCGAAGAGAACGCAGATATGATCAAAGAGGTCATTTATGTAGAGTATGAAGAGAGTTGGTCCTAGAAACCTGCCTTGGGGGACACCACTGTTGACAGGTACAGAATTTGATAGGACACTCCCAATTTTGACCATTTGTCGTCTGTTGACAGGAATGCTTCTATCCAGTAATGCAGGTGTCCAGAGATACCATAAGTTTTTAGTTTTAGTAGTAGTTGGTCGTGTACCACTGAATCAAAGGCTTTACAGAAGTCTATGGAGATTGCATGTATTGCTTTGCCCTGTTCGAGTTGTGTAGTCCATATGTTTTTGCAGTGTAAGAGTTACAGATTGTAGGATAGTTTTTTTCTGAAACCAAGTTAGAAAAAGATATGTAATTGAACTTAGAAAGGAATGAGATAATTGAAAATATAGTTACAGAAAGCAAGGAAAGGGAAAAACTATTGAGAAAATTGCAAAAATCGTAAGATATAGATTAGAATACATAAGATGAATATGTAATTGAGTTTATGTCTGTATGGAGAAATGCTAATCCGGGAGCATGCTGTTCTCAAAAAAAGATGTTTTATTTGTACTTTTATGTTTTGTGAAAACCCAAATAAAACTTTTAATGAAGAAAAAGTGTTGGGGACTTTCACAAGGAGTGGACTGAGGCTGGAGTCAGTGCATCAAGAGCCACCATACACACACGGATCCTGGACATGGGCTTCAAATGTCGTATTCCTCTTCTCAAGCCACTCCTGAACAACAAACATTAGAAGCGTCTTACCTGGGCTAAATTAAAAAACAGAACTGGTCTGTTGCTCAGTGGTCCAAAGTCCTCTTTTCTGATGAGAGCAACTTTTGCATCTCATTTGGAAACCAAGGACCCAGAGTGGAGGAAGAATGGAGAGGCACACACTGCAAGATGCTTGAAGTCCAGTGTGAAGTTTCCACAGTCTGTGTTGATTTGGGGAGCCATGTCATCTGCTGGTGTTGGTCCACTGTGCTTCATTAAGTCCAGGGTCAACGCAGCTGTCTGCCAGATTTTGGAGCAATTCATGCTTCCTTCTGCAGACAAGTTTTATGTAGATGCTGACTTCATTTTCCAGCAGGACTTGGCACCTGCCCACACTGCCAAAAGCACCAAAACCTGGTTCAATGACCGTGGGATTACTATGCCAGCAAACTTGCCTGACCTGAACCCCATAGAGAATCTATGGGGCATTGCCAAGAGGGACATGAGACTGAACAATGCAGAATAGCTGAAGGCCGCTATTGAAGCATCCTGGTCTTCTATAACACCTCAGCAGTGCCACAGGCTGATAGTTTCCATGCCAGCCACATTGAGGCAGTAATTGCCGCAAAAGGGGCCCAAACCAAATACTGAGTACATATGCATGCTTATACTTTTCAGAGGTCCGATATTGTTTCTATGTACAATCCTTGTTCTATTGATTGCATGTAATATTCTAATTTTCTGAGATTGTGGATTTGGGATTTTCATGAGCTGTAAGCCATAATCAACGCAATTATGACAAATCACGGCTTGAACTATCTTGCTTTGCATGTAATGAGTCTATCTCCTATATTAGTTTCACCTTTTAAGTTGCATTACTGAAATAAATGAACTTTTGCATAATATCCTAATTTTTTGAGTTTCACCTGTGTGTAAATATTGAATTTTTTATATAAAAAAAGCAATTTTTACCCAAAATCAGACAAAGCAGGCAGGCAGATTGAGCTGCTCAGAATCACAGATTCATTCACTGATCTATCTGCCATCGGCTACCTGAGTCTGTCACATAAAATTTGCTTGCCGTGAGTGCACTGAATAATAGAACCTTCAGTCCTAAGGGAGGTTCGGATGTGCTTAAAAGCAGAGCCGAAGATCTAAAGACTAGCTAGAAAGCAAGAAATCCAGCCATTTCCTGCTTTCTAGCTAATCTAAATATCACAGCTGATGGTCGGAAAAATAGAAATTTAGCAAGCAAGTTTGCCAGGTAAGGAGTGAGTGCGCGGGGAGGGTTCCCGCGGGCCATGTGGGCTGAGCAACCTTGTGTTTCTGTGCAGCCTGGATTAATTGCTTTGGGGGGGGGGTGCTCTGGAGGTGAGATTTCTCTGCGGCCCACCAAAATTTTCTCGCGGTCCACCAGTGGACCACCGCCCACTGGTTGGCGACCGCTGCTTTAAACTAATGTTTCTCAACCTTAACTTTAAGATATCTGAATCTCAACTCCCAGACATGGATGACTGGAAAATTCCGGGAGTTGAAGTCCAGATATCTTAAAACTTTTCAGATAAAACGGGTCAGCTAAAGGCCCCACCAGATGCAGCACCCGTTGCTTGTGTAGATGTGGTTCTCCATGGCCAAAAAAATTTGGATCGTCCAGGTTCTGTTCCATTAGGACACACAAGTCTCAAGTCTTCTCAGACAGTTCCTAGTGGAAACCTTTGGTTGCTTTCCCAAAATCAAAAAATGTTTCCAATTTCTCATGTCCCCCATACCCATTAATGGAATTGTCAGAGGAGCAGGTAGTTAATAGGTAGCTGGACTAGAAAAATCAATGTTGAAGTACATCTTTATACCTCCAGCCCAACTTTTGCCTCAGTGTCACTTTGTCAACTTTAGGACGTGTGGACTTCAACTCCTACAATCCCAACCACCCATCCTGGGTGGGGAATTCTGGAAGTTAAATTTCACACATCTTAAAAAGTTGCCAAGGTTGAGAAATGCTGCTTTACCTACAGTAAGCATCATAAATGCTCTGCAGCTTTCCATAAAAATTGCTCAAGCTGCAGTACCCTTTTTTTTTAAAAAAAAAAAATACATTTTCCAACCCCCAAACCAAGAAGCAAAGCTTGGCGATGGGAGATTGGTTGCATTCAGATGAACACTTTTCCCCTCAGTCTCTGATGGAACCCGAAAGTTTCCCCAGTTTGAGAAATGCTGGTCGAAGGTCAACAAGCAGATTGCAGCCAGTGAAAACTACACACTGCCCATTTCCTGCTGTGCTTATTATTATTCTAGTACAGTTTGAACACCATCTTCATTATTTCAGAATAGTTTTCTTAAGCAGCATAACTTCTGTTCTTATAAACTGGTTCCAGTTTCTTCTTTTTGGTCTAGAGTAGACTCCACAAACATTCTTACAACTAATCTGAATGACAGAAGAATTTAGTCACACCCTGAAACCTTATTGATTAGTAACACTAATAATATTCTCCCCTCTGCTCATGCTTAAATTGAGCATTGCTAGAAACCAAAAACCGAATAGTTGCCCATTCCAAATTTTTCAATGCTTACACAAACCATTATTCAGAGTTTTGCACCAAAGGAATCAGTGGTATTATATGGAGCTTTTAAATGACGTATTTAAACTTAAAATGGTTTATTTTAAGTGTGGCATTCATATAAACATTAAGCAAAGTGGGTGGAGAAGCAAAGCAAAAATAAATCACAATTATAATCATGGTCACTTTATTAGAGAACTGTGCTCAAGAAAAATAATGAAATTACCATACTGACTCTGGGCAAAGGAAATATTAGTAAATTTCAGATGATGCATTATCTTATGAAATAATTACTGACCAACAAAATAATTCCTTTCCTAGGTGTGCTGCTGAGATCATGCTCCTTTCTACACATACCCATAATAATGCCTATGAACCTGGCACCCAATTATGTCATTTTACTCAGCTGGAAGACAACGCAGTGCTGCAGTACAACTTCTGAATTCGTGCTTGCTTTCCCCATCCTACTTGAGTTCTTTCAACGGAACGCCATCACATCTAACACGTTTTCCTTAAGGTCTGCTTGCCTGCGTTGGCAATTGTCACTGTGAAACATCACCACAACAGTTGCCTATTTTGCCTGAGGTTGACTCACAGTGCATTCCTCTGTCTGCAGCAGCCTCCCCTACGAAGATATTAAGACGATGATTTCCTCCCCATATAACAACAAAAAAGGACTTGAGCTTGCTTTTACCCCTTCTGCCATACCAAAATAAAATTTAGTTTGTCAAAATACACCGAGCAGATTCTCCTGCTCCTTAATGCAATTATAAAAAATGAGGTAGAAGCATTTGGTTCCATCCTGATTTACATTTCTACTTCCTTGGCAGCCTTCCCATGCTTGGCAGCCGCCTACTTCCAAACAAACAAAATTTCTGCTCGGTACAATTTGACAGTGAGGACTCTCCTCTATGCCCTTTTCCTTAAATAATATATTTGAAGCTAAAGGTGCTATCGCAAGAAAGCCGTTTCCCTTTGCATCTTCCACAAAGATCTTGACGGTGGGGTCTCTTGGGATCCACATGGCGCAGTTTCACAGGGCAGGAACACCTGGTCTGCTTGCAACTCTGAAATTGACACACACAAAAAAAGCAACAGGGTAACTGAAAAGAAAAACGACTTGGATCTGTATATGAATTCCACAGGAACAAAAATTTTGACGAGGGACAATAAGATTGAGGTCAGTTTTTCTGTATTTATGCATACTGTTCAGTCGCAAGTGGGATGATTAAGACTGCATATTATTGCTATTAGTAGTAGTGGTATTGAAACATCTCCAAGGAAGTGGTAAATGCCCTGGCAATCCAAATCAATGTTCTTCAACCTCAGCTACTTTCAGATGGATGGATGTCGACACCTAGAATTCTGGCTGGGGAAATCTGGGAGTTGACATCCACACATCTGGAAATTGTTGAAACTGAGAAACATTCAACCTAGATGGTTATTACAAAGCTCAAAATCTTTCCCTGCTCTCAGATGGCCTAACACAGGGGTCCCCAAACTTGGCAACTTTTAAGACTTGTGGACTTCAACTCCCAGAATTCCTCAGCCGGCTATGGGAATTGTTAAAAGTCTTGCCAAGTTTGGAGACCTTTGGCCCAACAAGAGCCTTTATATGTCAAGGATGTGGCAATAGAAAGAAAAAACAGCTATGTAAAAGAGGCATAAACTATACGCTTCCCATATTTAAAAATTCCTACAGTTATTCTATCTATCTTTATATTCAGCAAGTGAATCAAAAGACAGAATAGGAGCCCCAATGGACCTTCTACCTTAAATGATGCCCTAAAAGGATCTGCTTACTTGGCAGGTAATATCCTCCACCCGGTACGGGTTGTAAGATTTCTGGCAAGTTCGGCAAAACTGCCTAAAGTAAACCTGCGAAAAGAAGAGAGAAAATTAAGGTAACTTTTTTTCTAAGACAGGAGCATCTACCTCCACCACCACCACCAGTGGTGGGATTCAAAAAATTTTACTACTTCTGTGGGCATGGCAGGGCTTGGTGGGCGTGGCAGGGGAAAGATACTGCAAAATCCCCATTCCCTCCTCACCTCAACCCACTTAACCTGCTTTCCAGCTCCCTTCTCCTGTGCAGGGCAACCAAAGAAGATCCAGACGATAGCTGGGACTTGGGAAACTCGGGAGGCAGAGGAGAGTTGGGGGCAGGGCCAGTCAGAGGTAGGATTTGCAGGTTTTCTGAACTACTCAGAATTTCCGGTTCTTCAGAACTGGTCAGAACCTGCTAAATACCACCTCTGCCCCCCCCCCAAGGAAACAAAGTCTACCTTGGACAATGTTAGGATTTAGGAGATTTCCTGACATTTCACCAGCAACTGTAGCAGACCACCTTGCCTCTAAAGATGCCAGCCAAAGTTGCTGCTGGAACATCAGAAAGTTAGTGGTCTACACTAGGGCTCCCCAACCCTTTTGGTTCCATGGACCGCCGGTGTCTTCGGGCAATGGAATGGGGGGGGGGAACGGTTTCGCATGCACTACCTAAATCCCCTTCGTGCGCAAAATGAAGCTTCACACGCTTCCTCGTGGCTTTAGCGGCCCAGCTCCCCCAATGGGTCACAGCCCGGTAGTGCAACTCAGGGTTTCGGGACCTCTGCTCTATACCCCAGCGACTGAACCCTGAAGCCCAACATGAACCCAGAGGATTGCAGTCATCCAAGCCTACCTTGTTTGTGCCCTGTACGCACCAGACATAGGCACTCTCCCACCGGATATTGCAGTCCTTGCAGTGATAATAGCCATACTTCTGCTCTAGGAACTAGAAAACACAGGGGTTAAAAATAGAATATCACTGCGGGTCTTCTTCTAAATTCATCCTACGTCTTCGTTCTTCAACCCAATGACCTGGTAAGAAGATCCTTGGACTGGAACCCCTTCAAATCCCAGACAGAATTTTTGCAGTTCTTATTTATGCAGGTTTATACTGTATTCATTTTTTTATTTATTGGATTTCTAGGGCTGCCTAACTCATAATAGGGTTCTGCGCAATGCGCACACACACACACACACACACACACACACAACCCACAGTAAACCAAAGGAACCACCTAACAGAGCAACGATCCTCAGTTTTGGGCAAGTTTAAGATACATGGACTTCAATTCTTAGAATTCTTCAACCAGAATTGCGGGAGTTAAAAGTTCAGACATCAAAGTTGTGAAGTTAGAACAAGATAGTCATTCTGAAGCAATACCTATTCAAGGTAGTCTTCAACTTCACACGCTTTCCCCCCCCCCTCTTCCCCCCAGCAACTAGGACTGGAAAATTTGTTAAGAAGAGCAGTTGCTAAGTGAGACGTCCATGTAACTATGACTTGCAACCTTCTTGCCAGCTTCATAGAATGAATTGGTATGTTGGAAGTTTGCCGGGAGGTTGGCAAATGCTGATCACATGATTCTAGGAAACCTACTGCGACTATTGTAAATGTGATCCAAGTGTCTAGATCACACCGACAATTGTGAGGATGCTGCAAGGATCTTAACTATGCATTTCAGATAATTGTTTCAAGTTTGCTTCAGATTGTCAGCTTTAACGCCCTAAATAGGTCATGAAAAGGTTTACAAACTAACACTGGCTGGATTCACAAACCACACTTGGGAAACAAACATGCAATAAACCATATCATGGTTTACTCTGGCATGCAAACCCCAGTCAGTCATAGAAATAAACCTGTCTGCCAAACTTGGGAGTTTATAAACTGTGAATGGCATCAAGGAATTCCAGTATTGCTGGAGTACTGCTTCTAGTTTAACATCTGAAAGATTTTTTTTTTTAAAGGCTCATTGTGTGTTTGAAAATAGCCAGTCCGTTTTTTTAGGCACCCGTCTGAATTCTTTATTCTGGTTTTCCTTTAAAAGCATTTTTTTTTTAAACTACAAGCAATCTTGGCTTATTCTTCTCACAGCCTGAGGGAAGAAGTCCCTCTCAACCTACCATTTGGCAAAAAAAAATTCCCCTGCTATTGCTAAATAGGGTTTTAAGCCAAGTTATCAAAGGAAGAACAAACAGGCAGAGGCCTGAATTTGATTTTCGGGGTCTCCATTCCCTGTTTAAGGGAGTGAAGCCGTCTAGTTTATCTCTACACTAGGAGCCCCCAAACTTGGCAACTTTTAAGCCTCCTGGACTTCAACTCCCAGAATTCCCTGGCCAGCTGGCCGGGGAATTCTGGGAGTTGAAGTCCACGAGGCTTAAAAGTCGCCAAGTTCTCTACACAGAAGCGGCTTCACACTTCCAGCAACGCTCCTCTAAGCCAGGCGGCCGCGATAAACTGTGGGGGGAAAAAAAACCCAGCAGGGCAGCCGCGACGGAACGGGCCGACTTCCAGCCGCTTTTTATGGGCGTCCGGCACCGTCGCTCGGCCGCCCTGTGGGCTTTTTTTGGGGGGGGGAGACGGAGCACGCCCTGCCGGGGAACGCGGGCGTCTGAGGCGCGTCGTAGGCGAAGCAGGCCGCCCGGGTTACGGGGAGGCTCTCCACCAGGCTTCGGGCCTGGTTCTCCTCGTCGACGGGGGTGGGGTGGGGTGGGGAGAGACAGCTCGGACCGTTGAGGATTTTTCCCCTCACACCTGGAAGCGCACGCGGGCCTTGTCCGCCTCGGCTTCCTCCCCGAGCGCTTGCGGTGCGCCTTCTTCGCCTTGCCGCTTTTCTCCTTCCTCGGCCGAACCGACGACGGCTTGGGGCTTCGACGGGGAGCCTCCCGCCCCGTCGGGGACCGAGGCCGACTTCTTCCGCTCCTCCTGAGGCTCGGCGACGCTCGCCTCGGCTTTGGCCCCGACGGCGCGGGCGGCGTCGGCGTCGTTCTCCTCGGTGCTTGGAGGCGGACCGGCGTCGGGTGTCGGCGGCTCCCGGGCCTCAGGTTCTTCCAAGAAGGCCGGGAGGCGTCGGGATGCCACCGGCGAGTAGACGGCGATGGTCCGGGGGAAGCGCACGTGCCGCGCGGCGCCGCTGCTGACCAGGCAGCCTCGTTCCTGCTCGACGACGACGCTTCCTCCTCCTCCTCCTCCTCCGCCGCCGCCGCCACCTCGGACCCGGGACCGAAAGAGCAGCGGCCGCGGCCCGAGCGAGCACTGCACCGAGGCGTCCTGACGCGGGTTAACCTGCACTCCCACCTCCTTGGTGTTGGCCTTGCGCAACCGCGGCGTCAGGTTGGGGTTGACCTGCGAGAGGATGGCCTTCAGCTGAGCCCGCTGGTAGTTGTCGAAGTATTCGGCCGCCGCCGCCGCCGCCACCATCGCTTCGCTGTAGCCGGACAAGTAGCCGCCGCCGCCGCCGCCGCGGTGGTGGTGGTGGTGCTGTTGGTAGTGGTGATGCCGCCAAGCGCCCTGCCCGCCTTTGCTCTTGGGCGGCTGGTAGCGGTAGGAATAAGGGTTGTACGAGGGATAAGCGTAGCTCTCCATGGCCTCGTCCATCAAAGTCGCCATCGCGCAGCGTCCCAGGGACTGGCCCGCCCGCCCGAAGGCGCTTAAATCTCCCCGCGGGGGCGGGCCCGGGAGGCTGTGCTGAGCGCGCAGCTCCCCCAAACGAGACACTCGCCTCAGCTGGGCCGCCGTCCCTGCGCGCGTGTGCAGGAGGAAAACCCACGCTGTCCTGGTTTAATGTTGGCCGGCTTCAGAGAGGCTTTGGGCCCTTCCCATCGTGCCTCGGGGGTCGGCTGCGTTTCCAAAATAAAAATACATAAAAATAGGACGTCCCTGCCGTCCCTGTCCTATTGTTTCTTTTTTATTATTATTATTATTTTTCTTATATGTATCCATTTCATAGCTATGTTTAGACTTATACCGGTTATCTTGTAAGCGAGGGACAAATCAACTCAATAATAAATAAATAAAAAATAAACCTAGTTTAAACAGGGTTTCCTATTGAGCTGGCCGCGTTACTGGGAATTCTCCCTTCGGGAAACCCCAGTCAAAAGTTGCTTTGCGGCAAAACGCGCCCAGGATGCAGCTGTCAAGTCGAGTTTTTGGAGGCCGGTTAGTTCATTAGAAGAAAAGGCGATTAATGGGGAGTCTCAATTAATTGTCTGGCATTCCCGTTACTGGGTGAATCAAAACGAAAAAGTGGAAAGGCTGCAATTCTTGGATGCGTTTAGGCAGAAGAAAGCAACTGCCCCAGTTCATTGGATCAAGTCCGTGTAGGTCAGGTGTGACTGCAAATTGAAATAGATAGCTTTGAATCAATGACAACTAGATACACTCACTATGTGCAAAGATACTAAGTATCCCAACTGTTACTTAGGGTTTGCTCAATCAATGGTGTTTTTGTGTGTGTGTGTGCTGTAGTGTTGATTTTTGCAGAGATCCCTTAACATTTTGCATTAAATTGTAAATAACAGCAATAGAAATGTTTTAGAGATATTAAGCGGCTGTTTGGTTATACCGTAAATCCTTTTAAACTGTAGTGATTTGAAACAACAGAATGTATTCCTGAGCAGGCAGGCATGTTTGGAATAAAAAGAAAATTCAGTAGACTAGTTTTGCCTGGTGTATGTACTTGAGGGGTCACCTCTTTGACAGTCTTGATGACCTCTCTTCCCCCATCCTAGCTCCGTTTCTTAGTCTAGATGCATTCAAAATATATTCCAAGTAGGAGAACTCGGATTGAGATCTTAGACAGATGTTGCAGTTAAAGTAAGAACCGGTGGTTTTTGTTTAAACAAGAGTGCCTCTAATCAGTTTTCCTCCCCTCAGTATCTGTCATAATTAATCCCAGTAAGAAAATGTATTTTTTATTGTCTGCATTCTTCTACTTCCTATAGAATTAGTAGTTCTGAACGGTAGAAGAGTCAGGCAGGCTCAGATAAATTTCTTAATGGTTTGTCATATTTGCAAGTAATTGAATCAGTCATGAGGATACACAACTTTACTTCAATCTTTCCAATGTAGAAGCTGAATAATACAGAAGCTACACAACTTGTTTTTTTAAAAAAAAAAACAGCAAATGCAATTGATGATGGTTTACAGTTATCAAATACATTCATCAATATGTTCTCTCTCTCTCTCTCTCTCTCTCCTTCTCCCTTCCTCTCCTGTTCCTTTGCCTTATCTGGTGGGATGACGGCATCATTTTCCGAGGTTGAAGAGGTTTATACAGTTGTGCAGTTTCTGAAAACAATTACTTCCGAGCGCAGTGAAAAAAAGACAACATCACAACAAATGCTCAGCACCCCTGTTGTTTCTCCTACTCGGCTGACCAGTTTATTTCAACACGGGATGTTCTTTTTAAGATCTCCTCTCCTTGTAGAGGACGGTCTGTCACCTCCATAGCCCCTGGACCATGATCCCCAGCAGCTACTGTGCCATAAGAAATTTCTGGGGTTTCTTCTTCCTTCAGTTTCTTGTAAGAAATGTCTGTATCCTCTTCGCTGTCTCCTCCCAGAGGCTCTTGCTTGTACAAATCCTTTCCATATATCTTGTAAGCCAGTACGAACAGCCCGGCTTCAGCAGATTGAAAGAGCGCGTAGAGTAGGGGAAACATATACATGCTCCCAATGAACTGTGGCGGGAAGCTCAGCTTGAGGATAGCGGTACAGAGCTGGACGTTCTGGCAGCCGGTTTCCAAGGACACCGTCCGCTTGCAGTGCGGGGGCAAGCGAAACAAGGTCGCTACCCCGTAGCCGCAGCCGTAGCCTGCCAAAGGCATCAGCACAGCTACTACGTATACGGTGGCAGGAATAGTAGCCAGAAGCTCAGGACCCAGCATGGTGCCAGTGAGAATGAAAAGGATCACCAGGGTCACCAGGAGAGACCACAAAGAGATCTAGGAAAGAAAGAATTGGATGAAAATTAAACCCGTCATCGCGCGGTTGCATTTGGGGCATTTATTCGCTGGCCGTAAAAAAAAATAAAAGTTTGTAAAATTGGACGCAGTCATTTGGTGACGTGGTTAACAACCAGCATAATTTACGATCCTAATCCCTGGCTCAATGAAGGGTGTAAGTGAAGGACTACCTACTGTATACAGCTGCGTTTTAGTTGGATTAATCAGAATCAGACAAGACCAGGCGTGGGCTGCTACGGGTTCAGCCGGGTTCGGGAGGACCTGTTGCTAATGTTATGGCTGATTTTGGCAGTTCGCTGGTTCAACCCTGGCTGGCCCTGCCCATCCTGCCTCTCCCAGGAGTCTCCACACGGTCCATTTTGGATGCGAGGTAAGAGCAGGTAAGCCTGGACAGAGGCTCAGGGAAGGGGAAAAACGGGCTTGCCGGAAGTTCCAGGAGGAGGCCATTTTTGCCCTCCCGAAGGCTCGAGAAAAGCCTCCGGAGTCTGGCGAAAGGCCGCCTGGAAGTCCAGAAACTGGCCCGTTTGGAGTTCTGGAAGTCCGGAAACTGCCTCCGGAGCCCAGGGAAGGTGAAAACAGCCCCCCTTTACCGTGGTGCAGGAGGCCGACTAGGCCACGCCCACCATGGCCACACCCACCCAGCAACCGGGCAGAGAAGCTGTTGCTGCAATTTTTGGAGCCCACCCCTGGACAAGACTGCTTAAAAGGCCTTGGCAACTTTTAGCAAAAGAGAAGGAAAGACCTGACTCCCACTCACCCCAAAATAATTGATAATCGCAGCCAAGAGAAAGGATCTTTCATTTGGTTCCAGAAATTTTTTAATGCCATAAAATCACCCCAGATTTGAACATTGAGGTAAAGTGAGAAAATACTTCACTCGTGTTCCTCTTGAGGCTCATTTCTAAGGTTTAAGAAGACCCCCGTGGGATTTCTTGCTGTAAGGAAGATGTTTTAGCCTTGTCATAATTTATTTGCCCTTTTCCCAGCTTTACCCTTTTAAAATGTTACCAGTACACAGTTGCACTAGAAAAATCTAAAAGGTCATATTAGAATGTCAGATTTATTTACATTCTTTTCTCTAATGATTCCTAACATGGAATTTGCTTGCCATGCACTTAACATTCCACATTTTCATTTAACATCTTCATATTTTTCCAACTCTGCTTCCATTGACTACATGCGTAGGTGTGTATGAGAGCCGAAGTGGTGGAGTGATAAGACTAAGGTCACTCAGGTACTGGTCTTCTGGTCGTCAGAGAAATCAAAAGTTCATGTCCCTTTTTAATTTTGCTACCTGAATAATCTTTGGGCTGTTGGGACTCATCCATAGGTGCCCCAAATACATTGAGGACATGTCCTCACAATGGAGCATCCATCTGAATGCAGGAGTTCTGCTGAAGAAGAAGGTTGAAGCAAAGTCAAAACATTCTGGTAAGTGTTTTCCACAGGATAAAGGAGTATATCTCCTTTGTGGACAGTCTGTGTTATGGGGCTCCAATTGGCCCAATTAAGGATCAATTAATTTGTTTTATTCATTGGGTTTTGTTCTTCAGTTGCTGGAAAACTTTGCTTGCCAGCATATTCTTTTATTTTCAGTAGTGATTCTATCTAATATTCATACTGAGGGTGTTGAGGTTTGCAGGCAGCCTGTGCAGATGGCAGTGGAATCGGACAGTAGGGAAGGACGGGGACCAGCCCAGGAGTCTGGAGAGGACTCAGACAAGGGTCCTGCGTCCAATGCAGAGATGGGGCCAGGACCGTCTGGGAGTTACCGTATTTATCGGCGTATAACACGCACAGGCGTATAACACGCATCTTCATTTTAAGAGGGAAATTTCAGGAAAAAAATGCGGCTGTGATAATATGCGGCGGGCGCAGCGCTGACATCACGTCATGACGCTGCGCCGCCGCAAGGCACTATTGGGAACGGGATCCCTTAAAGAGGATTCCGCTCCCTGGACATCGGCGTATAACACGCATACATCATTTGCCCCCTATTTTCAGGGGGAAAAAGTGCGTGTTATACGCCGATAACTACGGTATGTGCTGACTCCAGAGCCTCCACAGTCTGGCAGCAGCAAGGCAGAGGAACCAGGGGAGCCTGTTCCCAGTGCGCGTATGCGCAAAGCTGCTAGAAGGCAAGAGCAGCTGAGACAAAAGGGGCGACTCGAGAAAAAGGCTTGGAGGTGATTGCCCCTCCCGTAAGGTATAAAGGACAGGCAAAGGTGACAAAACCTTTGCAGAAAGCAAAGTCATTTGTTTTGTTCAGGTTAATCCTTGAAACTCTGTGCAGACTTTGTACTTCGGTTGGTTTTTTAATAGTTCATTTGGCACTTTTGTTGGCAGCAATTCAAAAGAGAGAAAAGTGAATGCTTATCTCAAGGGACTGTTGGGGACTCATTACAGGCTGGGAATGAACACAGTTCCCAGCGTTGAAATAAAATAACTACTGAAAATAAAAGAATATGCTGGCAAGCAAAGTTCTTCAGCAACTGAAGAACAAAGGCCAATGAAGAGAACAAATTAACTGATCCTTAATCAATTTAAGAGTTGTTTTAACTAAGTGTGTGCTTAATTATGGTCTCGGAAGCCTTGGTCAGAACAGAGGGCTTCCATTCAGGACCAATCAAGCAATGGTCCCATTCACTAAGCAGGAAACACTGGATCTGGTTTTCTGAACTGAGAAAGGTGATTTATAATTAAGAGAGGCAGAAATGCCTCCTTTGTTGTGGGCATATCTATCTACCTGATCAAGTTGCAATGGTTGGCATCACCTGTTTCCCCATAAGTGTATGGGGTCAGTTCTGAGGAAAACAGGCAACGTTTTCTGAATCTGAGTTTTCTGAATTTGCTGGTGAGTGTTATTGCTGATACCCCAAATATTATGGTCAAGGCCATCATGATAACATCCTGGAATGGCCAATTTCCCAGGCCCTCTTATCAGTTGGGGCCTTCAGTCCGCCCACTGAGCCCCAAGATTTGGTTTTCCAAAGAGTTATGGGCTATGGAACATCCTGGCAAATGCATAACGTGACAACAGCATAAATCTAGAAGCAAACAGAGGCAGGTTTACCTTTGACCTCTCTGGGCAGCCTTCATTGTGACAGTGATAGAAAAGAAAAATGCTTCCACTAAACTTGATGAAAATCAGCTCAGGGGGCTGTTCTGTGAAGTGCAGAACCTGAAACCACCTATTAGGGTTATGAAACATCCCCTTATATCCCTGGCAGACAACTATAAGAGGCTTCATGGATTTTTCTTCACAGATGCTTGAGTTGTGGATTCATTTCATCCTATTGAAAGGATGCTTGAATGAGTTTGGGCCACTATTATTATAATTCCTCCCCCAGAAGAAGAAGCACTGCTTGTCTTGAAAGGGGGATGTAGCTCTTCCTTTAAAAAAAATCACCAGAATCTTCTTTTTTTCAAATTTGGAACATTTCTGGCCAAAGTTGTTTAGGAGGTGAGTCATTAAGTGGGGTTGAATAAATCCAAGTGCTCCAGAAAGAAAATGGATTTCCTATATTTATTTGGTTTTATGCCAGGCCATATTTTCTCAATCTGTAACTTTGAAGTTCCTCACCATTAGGATTATTTTTTTCATTTATGTCTCTAATTTAATTTTCCATTTGAAGATTACACTTAGATAACCACTGGCTGTTTTTATTCAGCCAAGTCTCTGTAGTACTAATAACACCTATGTTCTCCACTGAATATTTGAATAGAAACTCTGCCCGTGACAAAGACAAGCCTTCAACTGAAATAACCCCTGACTTGGGAGACCCTATTCTCTAGAGCGAAAAGGTATGTTGTCATCATTCAAGCATTAGGTGTCTTTCTTTTAAGTTATACATCTGTTTTCTGGAAGCTTCCTTCTCCATGATGGCAGAGGAGAAAGGAAAGGGATGACACTATATTTCAAACATGATAACCTTGCCCAGAAATCACTCAAAAAAAGCAGTGTTATCATTTTCTGACCATCAGTAGAGTTTTGCACCTCTGGATGGTTATTGTATGACAATGCAATGTGTAATAAAATGTATTTGGAATGAAGAATTCTTCCTGTGAGCACTTGCCTCTTTCCTTAAAAAACAACAACGTATACTCGAGAACAGGATATCCAAGTAATAGATTAACTTTGTCACAGGCAGAGATACTATGCAAATCTTCATTGAATAAGTATTGGTGCTACAGAAGAACATAGGTATTATTTAGTACTACAGAGACCTAGTGGAATAAACATAGCCAATGATTATCAAAGTGTAATCCTTTCTTTTAAAAAAAGGCAAAAGGCAAATGCTCACTGGAAGAATTCTTCATTCCAAATATATTTTATTACACATTGCATCATGTCATACAATAACTATCCAGAGATGCAAAACTTTATAAAGCAGCACATTTATTGATGGTAATATAATTATTACAATCACTAGCACAAGTAGCAGTAACATTAGCAAAAAATACTTTGGCCAATAAATAAACCGTGTATTATTGAAATTTCTTTAGTTCTTGTATTTTTTCTTGACCTCAATGGTATAAAATTGACTTAGAATTGTCATAAGGAATGTTGTACAAATCTTATTTTTGCACATGCTACATTCTTCATTTAGTATTGCTGTGCCGGTTTTGACTTTCTTAGAATGGGAAAAGGAGCAATTTTCCTCCCAAATGATTCCATTCTGTCTTGAAATATTGGATCTGGATCTACATTACATTTTGCTCTACTGTACATTAGTCCAAAGAAATATCTGTTCAAACCTCAGTCAGACCATAAATAGTACGTTATAGTCCTCGTGTTTCTCAGCAACTACTAATTAATGAGATAAAGTTAATTACACAACCTTCCATGCCCTCAATGAATCTGGATGCTTGCTGGCACAATTCAAATTTTTTGTCCCTGATTAATGCTCCATAATTAACATTACATTCCACTTGAACAAAGAACAGCAGGAAATATCAGCCTAAGTGCATTAAATGCGGGAGAACCATCTCTGTTCTGATTTCTTATAAGTGTGTATGAGATAAGCATGAGTCAGATCTAGACAAAGAGCATCGAATCCAGTTAGAAGGAAGGAGGGGATTTGTTTTACTGAGGTTTTTTATTTAATTTTCTTTCTGAGTTTGAAAGTATTTTAAAGATAAAAAGATTGTTAACTGGTAAATAGGAGCCTATTTTGGGGAGGGGGTGAAATAATAAGATAAGAAACAGAAATAAACAGAAACCATCCACTGGATTCGTTAGATTTTAAAATAGGTTGTTTGCTAGGAATAAAATCCAAATTTCATGTTATCCCTTCTTATTCCTAAATCATCCTGGAAAAAAAAAACAAGATTGCCAGTGGCACCTGTAACTGTTAGAATTCTGTAGTTTTAAGAAGGAACCTCAAGAACTGGCTGTTGAAATAATATTTTCATCTACCCTTTTAAAAGGTTTAAAAGGTATTTTAAAAGGTTTAAAATATATTTTAAAAGGTTTAAAAGGTATTTTCATCTACCCTGTTAAAAGGTTTGGGAAGGAACCAAAAGATGAAGCAAATGATGTCCTTGTAGCTAAAGAAATTGTATTAACAAGAGAAATTTGGTTTTGGGAACCGTGATCTGCACTTCCTTGAATGAATGAATCCAGGATCAAGATGAATTATAAGGACTGGGAAGAGGTAAGTTTTGTCAAAGCACGGTAAGCGTGATTTCAAAATCATTAAAAGATATCCTGTCACAGGTTGGGGGTGAAAATCCTGAAGACCTCAGATATCCATTGTTTAAGAGGAGGAAAGAGACTACTGAGACCTGTTACCTTTGAATGAAAACTTTGAAAATCTGCTCCTAAAGTTTATTGCCTTTGTTTTCTTTCCACAAAGAATCGTAGAACCTTAGGGCTAGAAGGAAGCTTGGGCAGAGGTGGGTATTCAGCAGGTTCTGACCAGTTCTGGAGAACCAGTAGCATTCGGAGAACCGGCAAATCCCACCTCTGACTGACCCCGCCCCATCTATTCTCCGCCTCCCGAGTCCCAGCTGATTGGCTGGATCTTCTTTGGTTGCCCTGCACAGGAGAACGGAGCTGGAAAGCAGGTTAGTGGAGGTGGGGAGGGAATGGGGATTGTGCAGTAACCTTCCCCTGCCACACCCACCAAGCCACACCCACAGAACCACAGTAAAAAAATCTGAATCCCACCACTGATAATCTAACCCCCGCCATCTATCATGATTCCTAAGGACATAATTGGATTATACTTTGAGATTTCCTGGCTTAAAACAAGTAGACAAGACTAATAAGGGCTGATGTTTATTGCCAATCACTCCATCAGGCAGAAGATAAATGCCTTCCAAAATCAATTTGTAACTCAAGAAGACATGGAACAACAAGGTCTTTAATTACCTTGACATCTGCTAGGAGATACACTCAGCTAAGCCTGAGCTCTGCAGGTGATTCTGAATATGGATTGCTAACAACTCTACGCTGCAGAAAGCAAAGCAAGGCACAAGAGAAACATAAGCCCTCGATTTGATATTAATCAGTAGGGAAGACTGAAGTGGAAGTTCCGAAAATGTCACAGGGAAATGACTGTGGAATTATGGAATTCTAGAATTTAAAGAAAACTAAACCTGTGTGTGTGTGTGTGTGTGTGTGTGTGTGTGTGTGTAGATAGAGATAGAGATATTTTCTATGGGAAGATAGGTCTGTGCTCAGCTTACCTTCACCAGAATGTCCGCCAGCCTTGTGTATCTGTAGCGGATGAAAACCCCAAGGCCAATGGGGAGCAGAGTACTGCACAAGGTCAGGGTGACGGCCCCCAGGGGTAACAGGCGCACCAATGGGGTGTTGATCCAAGCTCGGCTATAGATCCACAGACAAAGAGGCATCAAGATCAAAGCCAGCAAGGTGGAGGAGGCAGTCATGATGATGCTATCAGGAAAAAAAAAAGAAAGAAGACAGCCCTGGGTCAAAAGCACAAGGAAAGCGGCATCCTCAAGACCCTCCTCTCTTCCCCCACCTCTTCCTGAATGGCCCAGTTACTCCTACTGGCATGTAATTAGTAGTTCAGAAGTCAGGCTCTTTTTCTGTGTACCCTCTATGCCCAAACCAAGTCTGCTCTTGTATCTTTACAATTTATATTGTTTTTATTGGTTTTCCTAGTATGTTTTGATTGCATATTAGTAAACTATGTATGATTTGATTGCTTATTTAGTAACCTATGACTATCACTAAGTGGCGTATCTTATGATTCTTGATGAATGTATTTTATTTTTTCTTAAGTACACTAAGAGCTTATGCACCAAAGACAAATTCCACGTGGGTCCAATCACACTTGGCCAATAAAGAATTCTATACTGTTCTGTTCTGTTCTGTTCTGTTCTGTTCTATTCTATTCTATTCTATTCTATTCTCTGTGAAGGAGGAGAGGAGGCAGCCATTTTGTGGGGGGAACGGGAACAAACTTCTTTTGCTCAAAACCAATTCTTAATATTTGCCCTTCTAGAAGAATTGCCTGTTGCCTACTGTATCCCTCTAGTGCAGGGGTCGCCAATCTTTTGGACCTCAGGGACCACCAAACTCATCATTTTAAATCCTGCGGACCACTAATATGAATTTTGACTGACAGTGGCTTGCTGACATTTTTCCAGGGTCTCTGTAGAAAGCAGCAGAGACCCTGGGAAAATCCCCAAAAAAGTCTGCAGGAAAATTTCCCACCACGTTTTCCTACCAATCGATCGTTCTTTATTTGGGATCGCAGGCTCCCATCTCCAGCTCCGTTCTCAGGGGGGAGAAAGAGAGAGACTTTTGGCTTCATGCAAGGAAAGCAGCAGAAGCAGCAGAAGTCTTTCTTTCTCTCCCCCAAACTCCACCAAAAATGAGTCTTTGTGAGACTTGTCGTGCTGGCGCAGCCTCTTGGAGCAAGATGCCTTGCAGAGTCCCAAAGACTCATTTCTGGCAGAGTTTGGGGGAGAGAAAGAAAGACCTTTGCTGCTTTCCTTGCGTGCAGCCAAAAGCAGAAGAAGAAAGAAGCGGAAAGAAGCAGTCCAGTGGCCAGGCGAGGAGCGTGGGGCGAGTGGGGCAAGTCCCACCCTCCGCCCTTTCCCCCTTCCCCACACTACCTTGTGTTACTCACAATGCAAAGGACGCAACCCTTGTGTTTCTGCCGGCCATGTGGGTGGCGTAGCCTTGTGTTCCCGCGTAGCCTGGATAAATTCCTTTGATAAATTCCATTTCTCTGCGGACCACCAAAATTTTCTCGCGGACCACCAGTGGCCCCTGGCCCACTGGTTGGCAACCACTGGCTCTAGTGAAGATTCTTACAGAGGGTTTCCAATTCTCGCTTTTTCCTACTCCTGCTCTCCAGAAAATAATTTTGCCTCGTCATCCCCTCTAACCCTAACCCTAGCCCTTCGGCCAGCTCTGGATACATTATTTTTCATCTGGTGGGTCCCTGGTTGACTATTCCAATCACATTAGAAGCCTCCCAACCCTTTTTTTAAAAAAAATCATTTATGATTCAAGCTATATCAGTCCTAGTTTTCCCATCCAAAAAGGATAAAATCAGAAGACGAGAGAAATAACAGCACATTAACAAAGTACAACCAATCGGAAAGAACACAGGGAAAACATTTTAACAGAGAGAGAGAGAAAAGAGGGAAGCCCGAGCTAAGCAATTCACAAAAACAGATAACAGGAAAGTGTTTTCTTATCTATAGAGGGATCTATTCGGGGGATCGTCCTTTACTCAACCCCCATACTTTCACTCATACTTCATTTGTTCAGGAAAAGGGAGGAGGCCAGGAAGAAAGTCTGCAAAACCCAAATCCATCAAGTTCTGGGCAATATTTGGCAGGATGCTCCTCTGGGTATTCAACAGGTGAAGCAGTTCTTATCCCAAACTCCCGGCACCCAGGCATCTTGTCCCCAAATTTCCCCCTCTGGAGAAAGGTGGGAAAGGCCTTTAGAAGTAGTCCTCAACTTACGACCACAATGGAGCTCCCAAATGATGTTGCTAAGTGAGACATTTGTTGAGTTTTGCCCCATTTTATGAATGTTGTTAAGGGAATCACTGCAGCTGAAAAATGAAGCGAATCCGGATTTTCCCTCCTTTGCTTGTCCAAAGGGGATCCTGTGACCTCGGGACACACGGCGACCGTCGTAAATAGGAACCAAGTGGCCGAGCATCTGAATTTTGATCCCTGGGATCATGGAGCTGCTGCAAAGGGTCGTAACTATGAGAAAATAACGGTCATCAGTCACTTTTTCCCCAGCGCCGTTCGAACTCTGAACGGTCGCTAAATGAACTGTTGTAAGTCAAGGACTATCTGTACCCGATGTCACCTAGCAAGTCCCGCATCCTTATTTTAAGCAGCTGGGTAACCCTTAGGGTGGTGCTACAGCGAGCGCCACACCACACCGGGGGGGCATATCTGGCTGAAGAGCTGAGGCAGAATCACAGATGAGGATAACAAGAGTTGAAGGGACTTTGGAGGTCATCTAGTCCAACCCCCCCTGCTCGAACAAGCAGGAGAGTCCATGCCAAGTATTAGCCTCTACCTGGGATCGAACTCACGAGCCTGAGGCGAGAGCTCCACATCTAGGCCACTAGCCCAACCCCCTGCTCGAGCAGGCGAGCCTTACGGAATAATAGAATCACAGAGTTGGAGAGGACCTCAGAGGTCATCTAGCCCAACCCCCTGTGCTCAAGCAGGCGCCCTTTACAGAATAATAGAACCACGGAGTTGGAGAGGACCTCGGAGGTCATCTAGCCCAACCCCCTGTGCTCAAGCAGGCGCCCCTTACAGAATAACAGGAGTTGGAAAGGATCTTGGAGGGAATTGGAAATGATCTTGGAGGGCGTCTAGCCAACCCCCCTGCTCAGAATAAGAGAATGCCTTGGAAAGGAACCTAGGAGGCCATCTAGTCCAACCCCCCCCCCCCCCGCTCGAGCAAGCAGGAGAGTCCATGCCAAGTATTAGCCTCTACCTGGGATCGAACTCAGGAGCCTCCTGATTGTTGAGGCGACAGCTCCACCCCTCTAGGCCACCCGAGCACCCGAGGAAGCGCCTCGTCCGCTCGACGGCGACGGTCACCCAAGCCAGCCGGCCCCGGTTCTCCTCTCCGCCTCCCGCGGCCGGCCTACCTGAGGTTCATGTCTCCGTCGACCAGGAAGGACATGAGGTTGGAGAGGTTCCCTCCGGGGCAGCAGCCGCAGAGCAGGACGGCCACGGCGGCCACCTCGTCGAGGGCGAAGAGGAGGGCCAGCAGGAAAGCCAAGAGGGGCATCAGCCCGAACTGGCAGAGGAGCGCCAGCCACAAGCCCAGCGGCCGCCTCAGCTGCGCGCCCAGCTGGCTCAGCTCCACCGTGCAGCCCAGGCCCAGCATGGTCACCCCCAGCGCCAGCGCCACGAAGACGCTCAGCCCGTGGTTCAGCGTCCCGTCCCAGGAGGGAGCTTCGACGCCGCTCTCCAAAGGGACCAAGCCCGGCGGCGACGGCGACGGCGACGCCGCCCAAAGAGCCGGGACGGCATCGGGACCGGCGGGCTCGGGCGTCGCGTTCCCGGCGAAAAGCAGCGGCGGCGGCAGCAGCAGCAGCAGGCGCCCAGCGGCCGTGCGGTTCTCCGGCACGGCGGAGCTGTCCATGGCGCGCGCGTCCAACTTCGAGGGAGCGGCGGGCGGGCAAGCGAGCAAACGGGCGGCCGCCTTTTTTTTTTTTTTTGCCAGCCTGCCCCCGTTGGACGGGGAGAGCGCGGAGGCGAAGCGACCGGGGAAGGAGCCGCGGAGCCGGCCGGCCGGTTCAATTCTCCGATGTGAGGCTGAGGGGAGACGCCGCGTCCTCCCAAGGCCCGCTCGGTCCGTCGCCTCAAGCGCCGCGCCTCTCCTCTCTCTCTCTCTCTCTCTCTCTTCCGTTGCGGCCGCCCGCCGTGCTTCTCCAACGGGCGCGCCCCCGAGAAGGCCGTCGGACGCCACCCGCCCAGCCCGCCGGCTCCGCCGTCTGAGGGTGGATTTCGGCCTTCCCTGTGCGCGCCTCCGATAAGGAGCAAGGCCGCCACCCTCACCCCCGCATCCCCACCCGCGCGCCTTTTCTGAGGGGAAGCCAAAGCCGCGTGGAAAAGAAGCGTCTTTATTTGAAGCAAAAAAATAAATGACTCCAACTTCAGGATTTTAAGGGCAACGAACGAAGCGAGACCCCCCATCTTGGACTTCGGGTTTTCATAAACTTGCCTCATTAGCAACAGAAAATTAACGGGGAAAAGGAGACAGGGGCTGTGAGGGGAGCAGTTGGAGTTGTTGAAAGATTGTTCTGAGGGGAAAGGAAGAGAAGAAGTTACCCAAAAAGCTTAGGGAAGAACTGGAAAACAAACAGCGAGACACGGTTTCTGACAGTGAGAACAATCCATCCGTGGAACAGAAGTTGCCTTCGGAAGTTGCGGGAGCTTCATCCCTGGAAGCTTTTCAAGAAGAGACTGTCAGAAATGGTGTGGAGTCTCCCTTTTGAGCAGGGGGTTGGACTGGATGACCTCTAAGGCCCCTTCCAACTCTCTCATTCTGAAACAAAAAGTATATTCTAATCTATGGCCATCGGAGAGAGTCAGGTCGCCGAGGAGAAGCCCAGAACTGTGAACCCACTGAGAATGAGAATGGTGGAGGAATAAAAAGAACTTTTAATATGAGAGGAGAAAGAGAAGGAGAAGGAGAAGGAGAAGAAGGAGAAGGAGAAGGAGAAGAAGAAGAAGAAGAAGAAGAAGAAGAAGAAGAAGAAGAAGAAG